CTTTCCCTTCTAGTCAGTGGGTCACCAAACCACCCCTGCTCACTTCTGGCCAGATTACCCAAAAGGGCTCTGTGTGAGGCTCAGCCACCCTACTGCCAAATTCCTTCTTCCAAACCACCCTCTGTCCCTATCCCCCACCCGCCATGGTGATGGAGCAGGTACAGAACATGGCCTGGCTCTCACCAGGCCAGAGCCAGCCATGCCCAGGGAGGGCCCTGACTGGCACGGCATGGAAGCTGCGTGGATCACGGATTACTTGTCCCGCAGGACTGCTATCATTACTGACCTCGAAGGACAGATCTCAGAGCTGACAGCGATAATAGAGCAAATGAACAGAGCCCATCATTCTGCCCCAAAACTGGTGAGTGGCCCTTGAGTTAACCGACATCTCTTTGGGAAGGGGAAAGGCCAATCAATAGTTTCAGATCACCTGCTATGTTCCAGGCAAGGCCAAGCACCTTCCTTCTGGGAGCCAGGCTGTCCAGGCAACAGCCCTGACTCCATCCTCATCCATAATCGCAAGAACTCAAGTCCCTCCTCTAGGCCTAACTCAATTTCCGGGAGTTCTCAGGGAGCCTCTGGCATGTTCAATGCCACTGTCCTCTCCACACTAGGTGTTGCCAGCCATTTCCAGCAGGGCTGGCTGTGGCCTGTGCAGTGAGTTAAATTTCAGACCTTGCTGAGGCTCTCTTGGTAACCTTGCTGAGGCTCTCTTGCTCTCTTGGTAGCGTGACCGGGACTTCAGTTTTGCTCAAAAGCTGCCCAGAAGCCTCCAGTGCCACTTCCTGTTGCTGGTGAAACTGCCAAAGCCCACTCTCCAGAATCTGCTGATTTCAGTTTGTACTATTCATATTCCCTGGAGATTCTGGTAACACTCCCTTTAAAATTCACCATTCATTTTATCACGGACTTTTATTCTCCGCCCCAAGCAGAGGTGTCTGGTGGCCTGGACTGGAATGATACGTCAACCAGTCCCTAGATCTCCGCCCAGCTCCTCCTCTCTCCTCCCCATCTGCCCATCCCCTCCTGCCACCAGCACCCAGCCCCCGCCCATCCCGCCTCGCTTGCCGTTACCGAGCCCACGTGCGAAGGGTGACTTCCCAGCAGGCCAGCCCCTTGCCCTCTGATACACACCAGATGTGTCTGAATCCTATAGTGACCCAGCACAGGACTCAGGCTGAGACCTTCCCTTCTGAGGATTCATTCCTATACCTTCCTGAAAACCCTGCCAAGTTCATGGTCACCTTCCTACAGAAAGGAAATTGAGGCTCAGGAATTTAAATAATTTGCATGAGATCACTCACATCTGTGGTGGGTTACTGGGCAAAATGCACACTTTCAGTCACTGAAGCATCAGCCCTGCTGAAGACATATTTAGAGATTATTTCCATCGAGGGACCTCAGACTGTGATTCTTAAAGTTCTCCCAGCTGTGAACACCCTACATTGTTGTGTGACTGTGCAGAAGCGGGGGTGTGCTGGCCCCGAGCCCTTGTCTCGGCTGGTGGTGTCTATTCCTCCCGAGGCACTGGCCAGAGGACCCGATGTGCGTGTTAGAAGGGAGGTTCACCTGGAACAGAGCACTTCCTGCCTCCGGAAACAGAGCCATTCTGCCAATGAGGGCTTATTAACACTGGTTTTAAGTTCATCAAAGCAGGGTCTGGTCTCAGGCCTCATTGGCTCCTCCAGGTCAAGCCCTTTGCACAATCAACGATTGCGCAATTGAATTACGTATCCAAAAATCCAAAGGCCATGATCTTACAAAGAGATTACAGTCCAGCCAAAGAGGCCAGACCTGCCCACAAAATAGTGAAAGGGATGGCTTCCATGCACCCTTTGTGAACTGATTACGTACCAGACAACGCAGAGCGAGGCAAGAATTGTCCCATTCCCTCAGTAACGATGTGCTCTCTGGCACTGCCAAACACAATGGGAGAGGCTTGGGGAGAGGGGCATACCCCATGAATGGGAAGGCTTCTCAGAAGTTGCAGGTTGGAGTGGGAGTGGGGTCCTCAATCCTGTCTTATAAATGCCAGTCTCGTTTCTAGCTCACCAATGAAATGTATCTCCGCTGTGCTGAGATGCAGAAGAACTTTGAAAGCAAGAGAAGGTATGCTTTCTGGCACAAGTTCTTGTGTACTGAAGGTCCTAAGCCTCCTGCATCCTTGCAGGATTTCAGTTCACTGGGATTTCAGACAACGCCAAATGGAACTGGGTGGCGAGGGGTGGGGGAGATAAGAGACATGTCTTTGGAGAGCAGGTTGGTTTGATCTGAGGTCACTAAAATACAGCCCGGAGAAGGTTATTCCTGGCTTTGTAATTTCTCATCCAAATTTCATTTCAATTATAATCTCCCTTTCCGTTGATTGCCGAGAAGAGCCATTTTTTGGTTCTCCAGGAGGTTTCCATGGTAAACTACTGTTGTTCCCAGCCTGGTCTCTCCCCACGCCTCTCCTCTTCTTTCTCTCACCTCTACTGTCCCTGGCTACTAGGTCAAGGTCTGGGAAAAATGGGAAGAAGGTATGGGAAGGGCAGGAGCCAGAGCTGCAGAGACAAACCAAGGGGAAGAAAAAGGAGGTGTGTTGTCTGTGAGAGTGAGAAAACCCACAAAGTCCCCTTCCACGCATCCTGCTGGGCACCAGAGCAGCCCCAGTGGTCCTGCTGGAGAGAAGTCTTCCTAAGTGTCACAAACTTGCTTTTTAAAATTTTTTTTAATTAACTGACTTATTTACTAATAGACTTTATTCTTTAAAGCAGTTTTAAGTTCACAGGAAAAAAGAGCATAAAATAGAGAGGATTCCCACATACCCCCGGGCCCCATACCTGCACAACCTTTTGTCATCGCTGACATCCCACACCAACACGCGACGTTTGTTACAATCAATGAAGCCTACACTGACACAAACTGTTATCCCCCAATGTCCACAGTTTACATTAGGATTCACTCTTGATGCTGTACATACTATGGGTTTTGACAAATATTTAGTGACACGTATCCGCCATTATAGTATCATACAGAATAATTTCATTGCCCTAAAAATCCTCTGAACTCTGCCTATTCATCCCTCTCTCCCCACTAACCCCTGGCAACCATTGATCTTTTGACTGCCTCCTTACCTGTGCATTTTCCAAAATGTCACATAGTTGGAATCATATAGCCTGTAGCCCTTTCACAGTGACTTCTTGCACTTACCGATATGCATTTAAGGTTCCTCCGTGTCTTTTCTTGGCTCCACAGCTCATACAACCTTTTATTTTATTTTTTTAATATTTACTTATTATTATTATTTTTTATTTTTGGCTGCGTCGGGTCTCAGTTGCGGCACACGGGATCTTCACTGAGGCATGCGGGCTCTTCCTTGTGGCACACGGGCTTCTCTCTAGTTGTGGCACGTGGGCTCTTGAGCACGTGGGCTCTGTAGTTTGCGGCACGTGGGCTCTCTAGCTGAGCCACGAGGGCTTAGTTGCTCCACGGCATGTGGGAATCTTAGTTCCCCGACCAGGGATTGAACCTGCGTCCCCTGCATTGGAAGGCGGATTCTTAACCACGAGACCACCAGGGAAGTCCCATATGGCCTTTTATTTTAACACTCCTCTTGAACACTGCTGACATCTGCCTCCTGGAATGGAGGCTGGAGAGACCTTGGGCTCTAAAATTATCCTGGGTGTTAATCAGCCCACAGTTTCCCAAAAGGATTGTAAGCAAAGACTGTGCTGTTGGGGGGCATCCATGGCCCCCTGATGTCTCCATGCAAAATAGTGGATGGTGAAAACAGGGATCTCCTCACCCTTTTCTGGATGGATATCAGGGGAATGTGTCAGGAAGTGAGGGCACCGCAGCCTGCCCACCAGCTGCCTGCGTGAGGAAGGGGAGGTGGGATCAGGTGAACTTTTCACGGATGACTGTGGCTTTCTCCTACAGGGAGTCCTACAGGAAGCTTGAGGAGACTCACGCAGCACAGCTCAGTGAGCTGGAGAAAAACTACAAAGCAGCCTTGAAGGCAGAGAAGTTGGCTGCCCAGGATAAACTAGGTACAGTTGGGACCTGGGAGAATGACCCTGATGAAGGGGTAGAGGCTGACCCTGCAGATCTAGGGCAGAGGAACTCCCACGGCCATGGGTGGACTCTGGCTAGGCTTTTGAGGTTTCCTTCTCAAGCCCAGGAAGAGCAAGTGGTTGAGAATGAAACTGAAAAAAGGGAAACCATGTCAAGCAATGTTCTGCCTACTCCCAGAAGTTTGAAGGGTCTGTGGCCAAGTTTTGGGGTCTGAGCAAGTCCCTTCATCTCCTTAAGTCTTAGTTTCCCCATCTGGAAATCAAGGACAAGAATACCTGCCTTTATCAGAGTGATAAGAATGTGAAAGCACTGTTTAAAGTATATTTAAAAGGTCTACAAACGTAATACTGGTCCAATCCAACAAGTTTCCTCACCTGTAAAATGATGGTGTTTCATTAAATTCTAACAGGCACACTGTGATTTGTATGGCCTTAAAACCTGTAAGGGTTGTGTGGGCCATTTATCCCATTATTTATGCTGCCTTTGGGAAGGACAAAGTGTGTACCCTTCAGAATTCTGAGTTTATAGACTAATCGCCACAGGGAGAAAAATTTCTCTAATCTCCTTCTTTTCTTTTATCTTACATTTTTTTTGTGTGTGTGTGTGTTATGTGGGCCTCTCACGGTTGTGGCCTCTCCCGTTGCGGAGCACAGGCTCCGGACGCGCAGGCTCAGCGGCCATGGCTCACGGGCCCAGCCGCTCCGCGCATGTGGGATCTTCCTGGACCGGGGCACGAACCCGTGTCCCCTGCATCGGCAGGCAGACTCTCAACCACTGCGCCACCAGGGAAGCCCTATCTTACATTTTTAAAAGATGATATTTGTACCTTGCTGGTTTTCCAGTTCTCTAAAGAGAACATGTATTGTTTTCAAAACCAAGGTACACTAGGAATGTTATTTTTAAAAGACAGAAGGTTTTGCTTCTGTTTTTCCTTCAGTTGTAGGTTTGCCCCCAGGGATTAGTCCTCATACTTGGGGTGCATCAGAATCACCTGAGAAGCATATTATTGACAGATACTGAGCCTTGCCTCTGAAACTCAGCAGGTTTAGAGTGGGGTCCAGCCATCTAAATTTCTAATAAACTTCCAGAGTGATTGCTAAGGCAACACCATGGTTTCACCACCGACAAGATGAGTTTGAGGTACGGACAGAGTGCAGGAGAGCTCTCATTTGAATTTAAAAACATGTATTTCAGAGGAATAATGATGACCCTGTTGTTTTCCTTTTGTCCAGAGGGTATGGAAAAGGAATATAAGTATTTGAAGAATATGTTTTATATATATCAGGTGAGATTCAGAGCTCCTTGGTGGATTATGAGAGAAAGAGAAGCAAGGCTCATTCCTGGTTGACGACGTTGAAATGAATCTAGAGCTCTTGCCCAGAAAATCATTTCCTGAAATTCCCAGCCTCCTTGAAGCTAAGTGGCCCTCAAGAAGAGGGGACCTGTGGACTGTGATGGCACCCATGCAGGACATGTCAGTCACCCAGACCCTAAAGGAGCCTGTGGAAAAATACATTTGTCATTACAAAAGTAATACCTGCTCATTGTTTTTTAAAAAATGGAAATTCAAAAACCAACAACAGGGACTTCCCTGGTGGAGCAGTGGTTAAGAATCTGCCTGTCAGTGCAGGGGAGACGGGTTCGATCCCTGGTCCAGGAAGATCCCAAATGCTGCGGAGCAGCTAAGCCCATGTGCCACAACTACTGAGCCGGCGCCCTAGAGCCCGCGAGCCACAACTACTGAGCCCATGTGCCACAATTACTGAAGCCCACACGCCTAGAGCCTATGCTCCACAACAAGAGAAGCCACCACAATGAGAAGCCCGCGCACCGCAACGAAGAGTAGCCCGCCCTCGCCGCAACTGGAGAAAGCCCGCATGCAGCAACGAAGACCCAATGCAGCCAAAAATAAAACTAATTAATTAAAACAACAGCAACAAGAGCAGCAACAACAAAAAGGATGAACTATCACCACCCAAGACAACCACTGTTAATATTTGTACTTTGTAACATATTTGATCTTAGTAAAGTACTGGGTCAAAAAGAATAAACACTTGTAAGGCCTCTGATGCATTTGGCCAAATTGCCATCCAAAAGGACTGTGTTGCTCTGCACTAACTCTAGCAAGCAGAGTAGGGGGTACCTCAGAACATAGCCCATCCACTTAGCCAGCTAATTTGATGGAGCCCCAGGAAACCAGAATTAGGGCATGATTTCATCCTAGGGGGATGAGAGAGTGGGAGGGGGGAAGTGGACAGGGGAAGGGCTGGGCCAGCAAGCCCCCATCCTATGGTGACCAACTGGTCCTGGTTTGCCAGGAACTTACCAGGTTTTAGCACTGACAGTCTGGAGTCCCAGGAAACAACTCAGTCCCAGGCAAACAATGACAGTTGATTAAAAAAATAACAACTTGGCATTTCCCTTGTTTCCCCCTGTGCTATTGATGAGTGATTCATGATTCAGGGGGGAGCTGACAGGAGCATCTGCAACATGCTCAACTGCCTGTCTTCAAAGGAAGCCCAGTTCCAACAGGGCAAATGCCGTGCAGAGATTTCCTTGATCTTTAGGGTTCTGCAGGCTCTTGGGTGACTGGGCTGGAATTGACTCCCACCAGTCACCATATGGGGCCCCCAGCAAGGGTCCCAGGTGAGGGAAGCTGCAAAGGGCTCAAGGCTGAGCCTCAGGCCAGGATGCAGCCTTTCAGGATGCTTTTCTTCATGGTACCTTTGTACCTCCACAGGACAGCATTTATGATGAAATGGAGGACAAGTGGTCAAAGAAGACAGAATGGGAGGATGAGAAGTTGGAGTGGGAAAAGACCCTGTTACAGCAAAGTGAGTACAGAAATTTTAGACTTTTTGATGACAGATGCACCAAGAAACTAGCATTAAGTTTGGTCTCGACTTGAGGAAGGCAGCCTTGAAGTCACGAAGGATGATGGGTGGGCTGCATGGCTGGTCTCCTGAATAGAAGGTGCCTGGAGTCTTCAAGAAAGTGCAACAAGGGTAGAGTCTTTTATGTAGTTTAGCCACCTGAGGGTCTCAACCGTACCATCCAGAGCTCACTGATTGCAAGTTTGGCAATCATGTGCTGGAACGAGCTTGTGGACGTCTGTAGGATTGCAGACTTGTTTTCTGGGTACAGGTGACCCCAGAGTTCCAGAAAAAAAACTCTTGAATTAGTTTCAAATATTCACTTGTTGGGGAAGGGGCAACACAGTCCATACTCCCACGTCCCCCCTAAAGGAAGCCATGTGTGACAGAGTTTTCAATTGAGATATATTTTAATTGATATAAGGTGTACAACATGTTGATTTGATACAGTCATATATTGCTGTGTATTTTTTTTAATATTTCCAACACTTAGCACAGAGCCTGGGTCATACATAGTGCCTACAGGACACTTTCCTACCCCACTGAGCTTCTTCATAAATGGAAAAGAGAGAGAGATCTCTGGAAACTGCTCCCTGACCTAGAGGACTAGTTGAGGTAGAATTGGGGGCTCCTATAAACCTATTCCACATCCTAGCCCAACACAATTCACATCAGATTTAGTTGATATTCACAAATCACTCATACAAATGCAGATACTCCCTGGGAAAGGTCATCCCTTCCCACCCTGGACTCCCAGGAGGTAGCATGAAGACCGTGGAGTCAAGGCTGGGGAATGGGGTGTGGAGCTGCTCCTGTTTGTGTCTTTACCTGGAATCTTGGTGCAGCTTAGCCCACGTCATCACCCAGACTCCCAGCTACTCATACTACGCTCATCCCATGTTACCAGAGTCTATGCTAAGATGCTACGAGCAGTTTTGGAAGACCGGAATTTAGCTGCTCATAGTGTAGCTCAGTCCAGACTTATCTTGTGAGCCCGGGGGTTGCCTCCCTATCCACCCCTAGCACCACGATGCTGAAGAAGAAATTTGTGTAAGACCTACACCCGTCCTTCCCCCTGTTTAGTACTGGGGCTCTGCTGACAGGTTCCCCTGTCCCCCAAATCCACTTAAGCCTAGCTCTGCCCCAGGGCTAAGTATAAATTTTATTGAATAAATTTTATTGAATAAAGAATAATAAATTTTATTGCTGGAAAAGTCACATGAGCCAAAAGCTGTATTTTAAGATAAGGGTATCAAAAAAACATGGTGATTACTTCAGCAGAGGGAATGGACAAAATAATAAGCAACAGATCCAAAATAACTACATAAAAAGAACCAGAGGCATTAGCAGTAAATCTCATAAGGCTGATGTGATGGAAATGATGTGATGGAAAACCATTGGAAAACCATTGCTTCCAATGGTTTTCCATTTTCTCTGGGTTTATTCAGTTTTATGACTGAGAATTATTGTTAAATCCAAGGCCTTGAGCCTTGTGATCTTCTATTATAGGCTTTATGCTTTGAAGGGCTTTTTTTACTTATAGGGTATTGATTAATTCTGGGAAGAGGTATTGAGGGATTTATCTGAATCTTGATGGGAGGTGCACTGTGAATTTTGCCAATATCAGTTGGAGATTTTGCCCATAAGGAGGATGGTAGCTCCTAATTCAATAGGGACAAATAATCAGTGTTTCCAAAATCAGTTCTAGGGCCGTGAGAGATGGAGCAAATAAAAGATATCATAGGGTCATTTAATTCACCTGGTTGGCTTCTTTGATGACTGTGGTCAAATTCTAGAATTATTTCCCCCTTCTGGGAGAAAGAAATTCCAGCAAGATACTTCTCTAAGAAGTCTCAGCTTAATAAATGGGTAGGGACAGGGGAACTAAGGAGAAAAAGGTGTGTATGTCTCAAAGGACCTAAATGAAAGGAAATAGGTTCAGAGACAGGAATCTCTTGTGGCTCATTAGAGATCCCCACTATGTGGACTGTTTTAGTATTCTGAGGCAGGGGCTGCTTTATAGTAGTGCGGTTGAGCACTAAGAGTGTGGCTCTGATGTCTGTTAGGACTGGAAGAGATTCATCCCCAACCTGGAGAAATGTTTCTCCAAGCCAATTAAGAGGGCGGGTTGGGAGAAGCCCCTGTAGTTCCTTGGAGCCTCATCACTGAGAATTGGGAGGCTGTTGGAAAGGCTGGATAGAGGGCTAAATGTATCTGAAGTGCTTGAATTTGTAAAATCTCTTTTCGAAAGCCCTGGCTCTTTGCAATAACAGGAGAAACTAGGAGGGCTCCGGTCTCATTTAGGAGACTCCATTTTCTGGGGTTGAAGATTAAGAATTTTGGCCGTCTTCCTTATAGGTGAGTCATCTAGAGTGTGAGAGCACTGGTTTGCCAGATTCACTAAATCCAGAGTGGATGTAGTTTCCCATTCCATCTGGTCCTTTTTATAGAAGGGAAAGATCCCAGTTCAACCCATCAACAAATATAGAATTAAAAGCTTCCTGGGTGGAATCCACCTCTATAGGAAGACCAGAATTTTCTTTAAAAACAATCTGAAGTCAACTGTAATCATCATGAATAGGTTTGTCAGATTTTCATTTGCAACCCTGAATTTTCTTCCAATCAACAGGCTTTGAAAAAGCCCTAGGAGGGCTTCCCTGGTGGCGCAGTGGTTGAGAATCTGCCTGCCAATGCAGACGACACAGGTTCGAGCCCTGGTCTGGGAAAATCCCACATGCCATGGAGCAACTGGGCCCGTGAGCCACAATTACTGAGCCTGCGCGTCTGGAGCCTGTGCTCCGCAACAACAGAGGCCGCGATAGTGAGAGGCCTGCGCACCGCGATGAAGAGTGACCCCCACTTGCCACAACTAGAGAAAGCCCATGCACAGAAATGAAGACCCAACACAGCCATAAATAAATAAATAAATAAATACATTGTGTATTATTTAAAAAAAAAAAAAGAAAGAAAAAGCCCTAGGAGTCACGTGATGGAGTCGCCTAGTGGTTGCTCAAGCCATGTAACAAGTTAGCAGGTTTCTTGGTTGTAATTTTAGAGACCTGTCAGGATTTCCTCAATTAGCAGTTTTCATCAAATGCTGGGCCTGACCTTTACCAACAAGCATATGAACTATCTGATATAAGTCAGAGAAACCAGGTCAGTAAGTTCGAATGACTATAGTAAATTCCTGAGCAAATCTGTGAGGGTCTTTGGTTACTTTGGGTGAATCTTTGACTATGGCTCACAGTTCAGCTTTAGTCCAAGGAGTATGAGAAATTAAGGCTCTGGATCCTCAGACAGCTTAATTTTAAAGGGACAGGTTCTGACAAGTTCAGAGGAAAAAGGAGTGGGGAGAATTTCAGAAAGAAGGGGAAGTTCAGTAAAGGAATTAGTATAGGGGAACTAAGGATATAGAGAAAGTACAGGCAGCATAGAAGGGAAGGAGGAAGATGGTGCCAGAGGCAGAGCCTGGTCACAAGGAGCCAAGGGAGAGACTCAAGATGGGGTCAGAGATGGAGCCTGAGACAAAGAAGCCAAAGAACAAGAGCCTGAAGCTTCAGGAGCCATTTTATCTTTCTTTACTTATTTGTTTGCCTCAGTTAATCTTAAGATCTTATTTTGCAGAGAGGCAATTTTAGACTCCTGATAGTATTTGGAAGCCTCAAAATAAGCATTCCACTCAGTTCTAGAAATTTTTGAACTATTGTGGTCTAATTTGGTTTTAGGAAAATTAAGTTTGGGGATTTCAAAAGTTCCCTGTGATGGCTGTTGAGATCCTAACTTGCCTTTGATTGGGTCAGTCCATTTAGCTAGAAATGTACATGAGGAAGGACCACAGTTTCTAAACATAAAATTGGCTGGAGTCCCTGTGGTGAGGGTGGGGGGCAACATCAAAATATTTAGATAACTGGGGTCCCATTTCTCAGAGGTTTTTCTCTGGAATAAAAGAATAATTTTCAAACAGCTTGCAAAGCTTCCTTCTTTCTTTCTTTCTTTCTTTCTTTATTTATTTTTGGCTGTGTTGGGTCTTCATTTCTGTGCGAGGGCTTTCTCTAGTTGCAGCGAAAGGGGGCCGTTCTTCATTGCGGTGCGCGGGCCTCTCACTATCACGGCCTCTCCTGTTGCGGAGCACAAGCTCCAGACACGCAGGCCCAGTAGTTGTGGCTCACGGGCCTAGTTGCTCCGCGGCATTTGGGATCTTCCCAGACCAGGGCTTGAACCCGTGTCCCTTGCATTGGCAGGCAGATTCTCAACCAATGCGCCACCAGGGAAGCCCAATATCCAATTAACATCATTCCTCTTAAAAGTGAGCTGAATACTGTACTATGAGTAATAAAAACAAGGAAAATCATGCTTAGGTTTTTGAAATCTAAGTCTAAACAGTGGTGCCTTTCACCACTGAAAAGCAAAGTCTGCTCATGGCACAGGAGAGGAAGCTCACATGTTTCTGGGATAGCTTGTCACACACACCACCAGCAATCAGGCTGGATGTGGGAGCATTATATCCTCAACCTCAACACATGAGGGTTTTTTTTAGCCAGGTCAGATCACAATTATCCCCCTCAGTGATCTTTGACATTTCTTTTAAACTTACTATGCTTTTTGTATCTACTATAAGTTCATTTTTAAACCTTCTCATCAAATTAAAAACACAATTAAAATCATGCCTACAGCTATGACTGTCTAGCTATTGCAAAGCCAGAGATTTAGATTGAATTTGCATGAAAATTATATTGTCCTGATTCCCACTCTCTCGACTTCCAGCTATCAAGAAAAAAAAAAAAAAAAAAAAGAAGAAAGAATAAAATAGCAGCATTTTAACTATTGTTTAGTTATGCAACTAAACAATAGCATCAATTAAGGGGAAAGAAGAGTTTTTTTCTCAGTGTGAAAGTAGGTTGTGGCATCTGTTTGCCCATATTTTTCTTGTCATCCTTATTGCTTACTTCAAAGTTCACCTTGGTGAGGATGGTGAGAATATCTTCACCCCTGAAAAACATAACATAACCTTATGACCATCTATGGGGGAAAAATCAACTGGTAAACCCTATCATTTGCTGTGATTAGTGATAGTTATTTCCCTCAAAACAACAGGCATTTGAAATAACAAGATGTTAAACCAAGACCTACCACAGCTTTCTAGGTAAAGAAGTTGTCTCAGAGCTTAATACCTTATGACCATCACAAACGTCACTGTCAACATCAGATTTGGTTTCTTTGCCTCCTGACCTATTTGCACCTCACTCTGCTCCATGTATGTGTCACTTACCCCTAATTGCCTCAACGCCCCCCCCAACATCCTCTGCCTCAAATTGGCATTGCTTCTGTGGATTTATCTGTGGCCGCACCAAACTTTAGGCAAGTGGAAATTGAAAGTCTCCTGCAGCCACCCCACTGCTTTCTCACCAGCTTCTCTTATCAGTTTAGTTGGGCAACCTGTTTATTCACTTCTGTAGCTAACCCCTTGGAACCTCGCAGGATTCATGGTCTAAGTTACAAAATGAAAATGTAGTGTGGATGGTTCAGTCCTTTATCTGCCATGGGAAATCTTGCTCTTCATACACTTAAAACATAATGAGACACAGAACTAGAAGCAACCTACAGAGGATTCCTTGCTATTTATCTGCTGGTTGTGTGTGCATTTGATGAACTGTGCCATACAAAACCACCATTTAAATAAAGGAAACATAAGATAATAAATGAGGGAAAGTTATTTTCCCACATTTTGTGGGCTTCAAAGCAGGCCAAATTGTGGGAATAGAAAAAGTTTCTGATCTTTAGCACTTATCTCCCACAAGAGGGCCCGAGGTTGGTCAGCTCTTATAGCACTTTTGACAGGGCTGGAGGATGTTCAACATGGAAATTCCAAACTAGTTGAGTGGGTTCAGTCATATTTCTGCCTAAGACAGAGATGAACTATATGATTTTGCCATCTTTCCCACTCTACGATATGCTGATTGCCCTTTGAGGTGCTAAATAAAAGAAAGTCCTCAGTAAGTATTTCAGTTTTTTTCCATCAGTAAACTTGCCCTCTTTCCCACTCTGCAACTAACCTGAGAATTACAGTTATGTGATCCACAGCTAGACATTTAAAGATGAATGAAGTGTTGAATAAGCAAAAATTACCTAGGACATCTTTCTCTCAGGCTCTGGCAAAGTGACTGGATATACCAGGTCCCCTCCATGGTGCTTCGGTAGGAAACACAGTTGTTCACGGTGGCCATCCCCAGCAGAAAGTCAGCCTCATCTGGGATATATCTTTTCTGAAGGGATGAATCCATTTCTAAATAGCCTTCCTTCTGTTCTGAGTCAGTTTCAACAGCTATACCTCTCTGATAGTTATCCCCTTGACAAGCCTGAATAAAAAAGATCTTGGGTTTGCCAAGAAGGGAAGGGCACTTTGAACCAGTGAAGTAAGAGGTCAGCTCATAGATGGGGGCTTCCTGCCCATCGGAGCCATAGATGATGCCTTTGTCTCCATGGGAGAGGATGCAGCAGATGAAGCAGTCCTTGTTATTGTGGTCCATGCTTTGGTAGGATTTCAGAACCTCACAGATTTTCTTCGCAGTGTAGTCTTTGTAATGCACTATCTCGAAATGAAGCTCACTAAAGGTCTTTCTCAAAGCCTCTGAAAAGTGAAACAAGAAAAGTCATATTACACCGCAAGAATTCCCAGACCACAACCCAGGACTAGAGAGAACATTGATCATATAAGAATCTGAACCAGAACTTTAAAACAAGACCCTCTATATTAGTGGCTGGATTCCATAGACTTCTAATATTCACTGCCACTAGCTGCAAATATTTCCCAGCCCTGAGGCAAAAGAGAAAGGGGAGACTGCTATTGTTGGCCTGTTGTCTTTTCTCAACTAGTCTACAAGCTGTTATTTAGGCTTACTACCTAACCAATCTAAAAAGTAACTAATACTTACATAATCAGAAAAAAAGCAAAAACAAATTTTTAATAAAAGATCCATACTTATTTTATCCTGAACCCTCTCAAAATTGTTCATCAAAATACGAGATATGAATGTTTTAAAAGTCAAGTAGAACTAAAAGACTTATTACAAAAAAGCTACCCCCCTCTACTCCTTCTTTTTACCCAGTCATGTTCTGTCCAGCCATTTCTATGAAGGAAACCACTTTCAACTTTTAGCTATTATTTGGTTTTTGGTATTAGCCTCCATTTTGTAATGAATTTGGGCTCATTTCTATTTATTCATTTATAAATTTTAGACTTTTGTATTAAGTTCCTATTGTGGGTGATGAGTGCTTGGTGCTCTTATACATTTACAACTTTTAGTTGAAGCAATAGAAATATATGTATCACTAATACTATGTAAACATAATATTCTTTAATTATGCTTCCTTTCTTATTAAACTTTTTGTCTTTCCTGGAACTAGCAATAGCATTATTTTTTCATTGCTTTGTTTTCTACATGCTAAACATTATTTTTCCCCAAATGCTCTAATTGATCTAGTCAAAGTCTTTCAACATTTTTCAGGCTGCCTGTCTGATTATTTTAGATAAAAATAGCATATATTTAAGGTGTACAACATTATGATATGAATAGTGAAATGATTACTACAGTTAAGCTAATAATTTATCTCCTCACTCAGTTACCTTTTGTTTGCATGTGTGTGTGTATGCGTGTGTGTGTATATGCGTGTGTGTGATGAGAACACCTGAAATATAGTCTCTTTGCATATTTCTCATGTTCCATACAGCATTATCAACTATTGCCATCATGCTGTACAGTAGATTGCTAAACTTATTCATCCTACATACTGCTACTTTATACCCTTGATCAGAAATACAATCAATGCCATTTTAATAAAAAATGTTTTAATGGTAAATATTAAGTAAATGAAAATTGAAAGCCTGAAACCTTTTCTTCAATACCAAGATATACGATGATGAGTGATGTAGTCAGTGAACTTAAGTTCTGTGGCTTTTTAAAACCTTAGAATAGATTTGCTTGAATAAACAAATGTTAACAGAAACCATTCACAGAGTCCTGATGATTAAAATCAACCTATCTTATTTTCTAAACTACTTTATTTAAAAAATAAGTAATTACCTGATGTTATGACTCATAACCACCATTTTCAAAAATTCTTTGATCAAGTAAAAATTCTTAATATCACAATGGTTGGGTTGAATTCTTTCTTTTATTGCTTTTAGTTGTAGCCATTTCTATGTTCACATGATGCAAATTATTTTTCATTTAACTTGTAAGCTCTCAATCTTAGCCGAAAAAGGCTGAGCCAAAGACTTTCTGTTTAGTTTAACATTTGAAAATGCTATTTCTGTTAAGGACTCAATTTCTGCTGTACTCATAGCCCAACTTTTATAAACACAACTTCCGTAAATGGTCTTGATACCAAAGCAATGTTTTCACCCAACACCTAATACACTCTATAGAAGCTCTATTCATTTAGTTGAATTAAAAACAAAGTTTATTGTTGCTTTTTATAAGCCTTTTAGTAAGATTTGATATTTTATCTTTATATATACATTGCTTTGATTTTTTAAATTAATTTAAAACAAAACAAAAGGAGAAAACTAACAAGTATGTAAGAATGTTGTTCACCTCCACAGGGAAATATGGTTATATACATCTTTTTGAAACACATGGCCCTGCTGACACAGCTTTTGTTCTCCCCTTTTGACAAAAACATAGATATCAGAAATATTTCATTTCTCTTTTCGGTTCTACTGTACCTGCATCCAAGTCTGTTCCATTCCTATCCTTAATGCTGCGAAGTTTGGGCACATCCTTCCTTGCTATGCTAAAATCATAATTGTTAAAGATCAAACAGTATCCCCGAGGTTTGCTTTTCATTCGGTAAACTGTGTTCGATGTCTGGAAAACAAAAATCCAACCCAGGAGCTGACTCTGTGGATCAAACACTTGAGATGTGAACAAACAACTCCCTAGTAAGAGGTTAGGCATCACCTAAGCCAAACTGGGATGCAAGTGCACTTTCCATAGCCCCACCCCAACTTGGCACTGCTCCCCTAAGGAACTAGTTTCCACTCATCCCCTGACAAGGATCGCAGACTTCTTCCCCACAGTTAGTGTGGAAAGTCAGTGTCCCAATACTTGGGCCTCCTGAGCATTTGCACTTATATTAATAGTGCTGTCACCACATTGTATTGGTATTATTTATTCTCATTTCTGCTTAAGGCAGTGAACATCTGTGCCAGGGACTAGGATTATTATTAATTTGTGAGAGCTCAATCAGGAGTTCCTGGATGAATGACTGTCTTGGTGCTGTCTTTGGGCTGCCCCTTTGAGACCGTGTGATTCCCTCAGCTCTCTGCTCAACTCATCCATGCTTCTGGGCTAACAGGTGAGGGCCTGCCCATCACACGGCATAGCATGGTCCCAGGATTTTTCAAGCTGATGGCTTAATCTGGATCTCAGGACCACAGTGACTCGAGGAGACAGATGTGCTGGGCAGGCAGGTCTTGGCTGTGCTACAGGTTACAGTATCCAGACACTACTACCTGACAGTATCAATCAGAGGTGACCCTGTGACCTCCTGACTTCCCTGGGGTTATTTCAGTGCTGAGATATTTAGCATTTATTGGGAAATCCATGTAGTTCCTCAAGGTGGGGAAAAGGGCCCCAGACTAGGGGGCCAAATTCCTGGCTCTACTACTTAATAACCTTAAGACTTTGGACAAGTTAACGAATCTCTCTTGCACTCAGTGTCATTAGCTGACGGGTGGGGATGACATTTGCAGAGTGCTTTTACTGTTTACAAAGTGCCACATGACTTCAGTTAATCCTTGATGTTCAGACTGAGAGAGGTCTGGTAATTTGCTCAGGAGTCCACTAACAAACGGTCTCTCCTAAGCTTAATTTCAAGTCTCCCACTAGACATTAGGCATACAGGGTTTCCTCTGTTTCCCACCACAAGGAAGAGTGAATGGGCTGCTGAGTCACAATGTGGTAAATTGCTGCAAGTTACAGAAACAGAAGTGATATCTAGAAAGGCAATTCTTGGGCCAGCTCATTGAGATGAGACCATAGAGACAACTAGATCGTTAGCATGTGCTGCTTACACCTACTCACAAAGGAGAAACCGTTTTGAAATGCCAAGCTAAAAGAAGACTTTGCTTTTTCTAATCCTGCTGACTCTTCTCCCAAAGCCCTCTCCCATTTAGGCTGATGCAGCTGCTGAAAGGATCAGATTGGAGGTTCCCCACCCCTCTACCCTCCAACTATTCCAACATCTTTGGTTTTAAAATAGAAATTTAACACATGGGAAACCAAAGAGATCACCTTTTCAAAATTCAAAGTTTAAAAGCCACATTTTAAACTTGTGCTTTTGTGAATTTTTTTCTACAGTTCTCAACATTTTCAATAAGTTTCTGTCCCTTATTAGTTTATCTGGAAGCTAAAAAAAGCTCAGGAACACAATTACTAGAATCTGCAGCACAAAGGGGAAAAGGAATGGGAATTTCCCAGTACCTGTGACTCACTGTCCTTTTCTCCTGGAGAGTCCGACATGGCCAGCATTTCAAGGGAGCCCTCCCTTATGAGCAATTGTGACACATCTGGAATGACACAGGCAGGGAAGGTGCTTTGGTGAGGAAAGATGTAGCACCCAGGACAACATAAGGTCCCTTTTAAAATGAAAATTCACAGGACTTCCCTGGTTGCTTAGTGGTTAAGGATCCTCCTGCCAATGCAAGGGATATTCGAGCCTTGGTCTGAGAAGATCCCACATGCCATGGAGCAACTAAGCCGTGTGCCACAACTACTGAAGCCCGCATGCCTAGAGCCCATGCTCTGCAACAAGAGAAGCCACCACAGTGAGAAGCCCACACACCACAACGAAGAGTAGCCCCCACTTGCTGCAACTAGAGAAAGCCCATGCACAGCAAAGAAGACCCAGTGCAGCCAAAAAATTTTTTTAATTTAAAAATAAATAGAATAATTTAAAAAAAAATAAAGTCAGGATTTGTTAAAAAAAAATAAAAGAAAGAAAAAAAAAGAAAATTCACAGACCACCTTGAACATAATATCCTTGCAGTTCACAGAATATGGGAAAATCTTATCACTAACTAACTCTGCCCCTATTTCAAATATGCTGGCCTGGGGCTGCAGGGTCCTTGTCTTTTGACAATGCCTTTTATATCTTCCAATGTGCAGAGAAGGTGAAAAGTAGCCAGTGCTATTAGGAGAACAGGTCCATTACCATGCAAATGTCATCTGCATACAGAGTGAAGTAAGTCAGAAAGAGAAAAATAAATATTGTATATTAACGCGTATATGTGGAATCTACAAAAATGGTACAGATGAACCAGTTTGCAAGGCAGAAATAGAGACACAGACGTAGAGAACAAACGTATGGACACCAAGCAGGGAAAGTGGGGGTGGGATGAATTGGGAGACTGGGATTGACATATATACACTAATATGTAGAAAATAGAAAACTAATGAGAACCTGCTGTATAGCACAGGGAACTCCACTTCTCTGTACAGTAGAAGCTAACACAACATTGTAAAACAACTATATCCCAATAAATAAATAAAACAAAATGGGAAAAAAAAGATGCAGACGTGGTCACAGTTGTGACTGCTGTAGCCCTCCCTCTCCCCAGCCTGAGTGAGCAAGTGAGCCCTAATCAGCCACTGCTTTTGCCCCCTCTTGCCTGGGTGGGGAACAGATGCCTGAGGGTGGCCCACATGCACAGATGGGACCAAAACGAAAGCTGAACTCCAGGGGCAGTGGGACCAAAGAAGAGAAAGGGAAATCTCTCTGTGCAGCCACAGGAGCAGAGGATTAAATCCCTGCAATCAGCTTGGTAAACCCTGCATCTGTGGAATATCTGAATAGACAATGAGTGTTCCTGCAATTGAGGCTGTGGACTTTGGGGGCAACTGTGGACTTTGGGGGCAAGTACACGCCGGAGTTGGGCCAGGTCAGAGTCTGAGCTGGCCCCACAGAGCCCACAGCAGGTTCAGAGACCCACCTAGAAGTACTGGAGGACTTCCCAGGCAGGCAGGGATTGGCTGTGCTTCACTGTGGGAGCAATGAGGCCACAGGAAAATATTAATATTAAAATTAAATATTAAAATATTAATATTACTATTATTTTTTCACTTTGTTCTATTGTTTTTATTGTATTTTATTATTCTTTTAATTTTTATTTACTTTTTCTTTTCTTTTTTATGCTTTTATTTGTAATATATTTCTTACTTTATTTTTTTTCCTCTTTCTACTTTACTTTGTCATTATATTGTGCTTTTTCCTTGTTTTTGTTTTTTCCTTTGTTTTGCTTTGTTTTTATCTTCTTTTTAACTATATTTTATATTTTTCAATTTTTACTTTACTTTTCTGTTGTTTTTTCCTTTTGTTTTCATCTTTCTTATGTTTTTAACTTTTTTTATCTCTTTTGTGTGTTTTATGCTTTCTTTGCCTTTTTTTAGATTGCTTTCTGCTTTTGATTGGTTTTTTGTTTTTTCTTTTTGATAGTTTAGTTTTTAGTGTTTGTTTTCATTTGGGGTTAGTTTACTTGTTTGGTTGCTCTCTTCTTTTTTGTTTTCTTTTTTTCTTTTCTTGTTGTGAGTGCGTGCGTGTGTGTGTGTGTGTGTGTGTGTGTGTGTGTGTGTTTCTTTGTCTGTTTTTGACTGTTTGGTTTGGTTTTCCCACATGCTGCAAGGCAACTAAGCCCACGTGCCACAACTACTGAGCTCACATGCGTCAACTAGAGCCCGTGTGCCACAAATTACAGAGCCCGTGTGCTCTGGAGCCTGTGCACTACAACTAGAGAGAGAAAACCCACACACCACAACTACACAGAAGCCCACACACCACAATGAAGAGTCTGCACTCTGCAATGAAAGATTCTGCATGCCTCAATGAAGATCCTGTGTGCCACAATTAAGAGTCGACACAGCCAAAAATAAAAATTAAAATAAATAAATAAATAATAACTCTTTAAAAAAAAAGAAAAAATATTAAAAGCAGCAAGGGAAGAGCAACAAATAACATACAAGGGAATCCCCATAAGGTTATGAGCTGATTTTTCAGCAGAAACTCCACAGGCAAGAGGGGAGGGCCCAATATATTTAAAGTGATGAAAGGGAAAAAGCTACAGCCATGATTACTCTACCCAGCAAGGATCTCATTCAGAATTGACAGAAAAATCAAAAGATTTACAGACAAGCAAAATGTAAGAGAATTTAGTACAACAAAACCAGCTCTACAACAAATACCAAAGGAACTTCTCTACGCGGGAAACACGAGAAGAAAAAGACCTACAAAAACAAACTCAAAACAATTAAGAAAATGGTAATAGGGATGTACATATTCATAATTACCTTAAATGTGAATGGATGAAATGCTCCAACCAAAAGACACAGGCTCGCTGAATGGATACAAAAACAAGACCTGTATATATGCTGTCTACAAGAGACCCACTTCAGACTTAGGGACACATACAGGCTGGAAGTGAAGGGATAGAAAAAGATATTCCATGCAAATGGAAATCAGAAGAAAGCTGGGGTAGCAATACTCATAACAGATAAAATAGACTTTAAAATAAAGAATGTTACAAGACACAAAGAAGGAAACTACATAGTGATCAAGGGATCAATCCAGGAAGAAGATACAATTATATATGCACCCAAGATAGGAGCACCTCAATACATAAGGCAAATGCTAACAGCTATAAAAAGGGGAAATCAGCAGTAACACAATAAAGGTGGGGGACTTTAACACCTCACTTATACCAATGGACAGATCATCCAGACAGAAAATAAATAAGGAAACACAAGCTTTAAATGACAAAATAGACCAGATAGATTTAATTGATATTTACAGGACATTCCATCCGAAAGCAGCAGATTACACTTTCTTCTCAAGTGCACATGGAACATTCTCCAGGATAGATCATATCTTGGGTCACAAATCAAGCCTTGGTAAATTTAAGAAAATTGAAATCATATCAAGCATCTTTTCCAATCACAATGCTATGAAATTAGAAATCAATTAGAGGAAAAAACCTGTAAAAAACACAAACACATGGAGGCTAAACAATATACTACTAAATAACCAAGAGATCACTGAAGAAATCAAAGAGGAAATTAAAAAATACCTAGAGATAAATGACAAAAAAATACAATGGCCCAAAACCTATGGGATGCAGCAAAAGCAGTTCTAAGAGGGAACTTTATAGCAATACAATCCTACCTCAAGAAACAAGAAAAATCTCAAATAAACAATCTAACCTTACACCTAAAGGAACTAGAGAAAGAACAACAACAACAACAACAACAACAAACCCCAAAGTTAGTAGAAGGAAAGAAATTATAAAGATCAGAGCAGAAATAAATGAAATAGAAACAAAGAAAGCAATAGCAAAGATCAATAAAACTAAAAGCTGGTTCTTTGAGAAGATATACAAAATTGATAAACCCTTAGCCAGTCTCATCAAGAAAACAAGGGAGAGAACTCAAATCAATAAAATTACAAATGAAAAAAAAGGCACAACAGACACCGCAGAAATACAAAGCATCCTAGGGGACTACTACAAGCAACTCTATGCCAATAAAGTGGACAACCTGGAAGAAATGGACAAATTCTTAGAAAGGTATAAGCTCCAAGACTGAACCAGGAAGAAATAGAAAATATGAACAGACCAATCACAAGTAATGGAATTGAAACTGTGATTAAAAATCTTCCAACAAACAAAAGTCTAGGACCAGATGGCTTCACAGGTAAATTCTATCAAACATTTAGAGAAGAGCTAACACCCATCCTTCTCAAACTCTTCCAAAAAACTGCAGAGGAAAGAACATTCCAAATCTCATTCTATGAGGCCACCATCACCCTGAGGCCAAAACCAGACAAAGATATCACAAAAAAAGAAAATTACAGACCAATATCACTGATGAATGTAGATGCAAAAATCCTCAACAAAATACTAGCAAACAGAATCCAACAACACATTTAAAGGATCATACACCATGATCAAGTGGGACTGATCCCAGGGATGCAAGGATTCTTCAATATACACAAATCAATCAATGTGATACACCATATTAACAAACTGAAGAAGAAAAACCATATGATCATCTCAATAGATGCAGAAAAAGCTTTTGAGAAAATTCAACACCCATTTATGATTAAAAGAACTCTCCAGAAAGCGGGCACAGGGGGAACCTACCTCAGCATAATAAAGGCCATATATGACAAACCCACAGCAAACATCATTCTCAATGGTGAAAAACTGAAAGCATTTCCTCTAAGATCAGGAACAAGACAAGGATGTCCAGTCTCACCCCTATTTTGTTTGTTTGTTTGGTTTTGGTTTTGGTTTTTTTTGCGGTACGTGGGCCTCTCACTGTTGTGGCCTCTCCCGTTGCGGAGCACAGCCTCCGGACACGCAGGCTCAGCGGCCATGGCTCACGGGCCCAGCCTCTCCACAGCATGTGGGATCTTCCTGGACCAGGGCATGAACCCAGTCCCCTGCATCAGCAGGCAGACTCTCAACCACTGTACCACCAGGGAAGCCCTCACCACTATTATTGAATACAGTTTTGGAAGTCCTAGCCACAGCAATCAGAGGAGAAAAGGAAATAAAAGGAATAAAAATTGGAAAAGAAGAAGTAAAACTGTCACTTTGCAGATGACATGATACCATACATAGAGAATCCTAAAGATGCCACCAGAAAACTACTAGAGCTAATCAATGAATCTGGTAAAGTTGCAGGATACAAAATTAATGCACAGAAATCTCTTAAATTCTATACACTAACAATGAAAGATCAGAAAGAGAAATTAAGGAAACAATCCCATTCACCATTGCAACAAAAAGAATAAAATACGTAGGAATAAACCTACCTAAGGAGGTAAAAGACCTGTACTCAGAAAACTACAGGATACTGATGAAAGAAATCAAAGATGACACAAACAGATGGAGAGATATACCATGTTCTTGGATTGGAAAATCAATATTGTGAAAATGACTATACTACCCAAAGCAATCTACAGATTCAATGCAATCCCCATCAAATTGCCAATGGCATTTTTCACAGAACTAGAACAAAAAATCTTAAAATTTGTATGGAGACACAAAAGACCCCAAATAGCCAAAGCAATCTTGAGAAAAAAAAAAAAAAGGGTCTTCCCTGCTGGCGCAGTGGTTGAGAATCTGCCTGCTAATGCAGGGGACACGGGTCGAGCCCTGGTCTGGGAGGATCCCACATGCCGCGGAGCAACTGGGCCCGTGAACCACAACTACTGAGCCTGCTCGTCTGGAGACTGTGCTCCGCAACAAGAGAGGCCGCGATAGTGAGAGCCCTGCATACCGCAATGAAGAGTGGCCCCCACTTGCCACAACTAGAGAAAGCCCTCGCACAGAAACAAAGACCCAATGCAGCAAAAATAAATTAATTAATTAATAAACTCCTACACCCAACATCTTCTTTAAAAAAAAAAATGGAGCTGGAGGAATCAGACTCCCTGACTTCAGACTATACTACAAAGCTACAGTAATCAAGACAGCATGGTAGTGGCACAAAAACAAACATAGATCAATGGAACAGGATAAAAAGCCCAGAGATAAACCCATGCACCTATGGTCAACTACTCTATGACAGAGGAGGCAAGGATATAGAATGGAGAAAAGACAGTCTCTTCAATAAGTGATGCTGGCAAAACTGGACAGCTACTTGTAAAAGAATGAAATTAGAACACTCCCTAACACCATACACAAAAATAAACTCAAAATGGATTAAACACCTAAATGTAAGGCCAGACACTGTCAAACTCTTAGAGGAAAACATAGGCAGAATATTCTATGACATAAATTACAGCAAGATCCTTTTTGACCCACCTCCTAGAGAAATGGAAATAAAAACAAAAATAAACAAATGGGACCTAATGAAATTGAAAAGCTCTTGCACAACAAAGGAAAACATAAACAAGACAAAAAGACAATGCTCAGAATGGGAGAAAATATTTGCAAATGAAGCAACTGACAAAGGATTAATCTCCAAAATATACAAGCAAGCAGTTCCTGCAGCTCAATATCAAAAACACAAACAACCCAATCGAAAATGGGCAGAAGACCTAAATAAACATTTCTCCAAAGAAGATATACAGATTGCCAACAAACAAATGAAAGGATGCTCAACATCACTAATCATTAGAGAAGCGCAAATCAAAACTACAATGATGTATTACCTCACACCTGTCAGAGTGGCCATCATCAAAAAATCTACAAATAATAAATGCTGGAGAGGGTATGGAGAAAAGAGAACCCTCTTGCACTGTTGGTGGGAATGTAAATTGATACAGTCACTATGGAGAACAGTATGGAGGTTCCTTAAAAAACTAAAAATAGAATTAGCATGTGACCCAGCAATCCCACTACTGGGCATATACCCAGAGAAAGTCTTAATTCAAGAAGACACATGCGGACTTCCCTGGTGGCACAGTAGTTTAGAATCCACCTGACAATGCAGGGGACACAGGTTTGAGCCCTGGTCCAGGATGATCCCACATGCTGCGGAGCAACTAAGCCTGTGTGCCACAACTACTGAGCCTGCGCTCTAGAGCCTGCGAGCCTCAACTACTGAAGCCCACGCACTTAGAGCCCGTGCTTTGCAACAAGAGGAGTCACCGCAATAAGAAGCCCACATGCAGCAACGAAGAGTAGCCCCTACTCACCACAGCTAGAGAAAGCCCATGTGCAGCAACAAAGACCCAACACAGCCAAAAATAAATAAATAAATAAATAAATAAATAAATAAATAAATTTTATTTTAAAAGAAGACACATGCACCTCGATATTCATTGCAGCACTATTTACGATAGCCAGGTCATAGAAGCAACGTCAATGCCCATCAACAGACAAATGGATAAAGAAGAAGTGGTACATATATACAATGGAATATTACTCAGCCTAAAAAAAGGAATGAAATTGGGTCATTTGCAGAGACGTGGATGGACCTAGAGACTGTCATACAGAGTGAAGTAAGTCAGAAAGAAAAACAAATATCATATATTTAACACACATATGTGGAATCTAGAAAAAATCATACAGATGAACTGGTTTGCAAGGCAGAAGTAGAGACGCAGACATAGAGAACAAACGTATGGACACCAAGGGGGAAAACGGGGGGTGGAAAGAATTGGGAGATTGGGATTGACATATGTACACTAATAGGTAGGAAATAGATAACTAATGAGAACCTGCTCTATAGCATGGGGAACTCTACCTCAGTTCACTGAAACTAATACAACATTGTAAAACAACTCTACCCCAATTTAAAAAAAAAATGCAGATGTGGTAGAAGGTTGTGGAGAGGAGGCAATGAGGCTATCAGGAAGTAAATTAGCTAAATAAACCTCGAGAACATATCTGCAAGTATTACCGTTTGAAAATTCATCTGGACCTCTTTCAAGGCTCATTCTTTGCTCTGAATTTAAAAAGAAACACAGATATTTGATTAGAAACTGCTGTGACACAGAGGAGTCTGTCCATTTAAGACTACCTTTTGCTGGTCCACAGCTCTCAGGTTATTTATACCTCTGCTTAGTTCTTCATAATCGTTGATTTTCTTCAATAGGCTCTTGTTGATTTGCTCACAGATTCTTTTCAGGGTGTCCAAGTTTCTTTCCCCTAGGATGACCCTCTTCTCCATCTCTATGAAAATATCAAGCAAGGTCTAGAGGGAGGAGAAATCAAGTTGGAAGACTAGATGGAGCCACGTTGGCTTTTAGATTAACTTTGTTTTTTTGCTTCCACTCTCTCCAAACTAAGCACCCACCCTAGCTTCCCAAGCCAACCCTCCTGAGAGGACATCCTGGTCTTATAAAGCCAATCACTAGATTATTAGGGAGGCAGTTCATGATTTCTGGCCCAGAAAGATAGAAATAAGAAGACACAGGAGAAGTCACATCAGATGTCACCTAGTCCCCAGGCCCAGGCCCTGTGCTGAAACTGCCTGTGGACAGCTTTATGTGAAGACAGTGAAGCAGCCCGAGTGCATGGCTGAGATGTGACAGCCTGGTCCCTATGGCAACAGCCCTGGGGACTGCCTCACACCCTCCATTGCCTCTGCCACCTGATCATCTCCAGGCTGAGTGTCCCCATAACACACACACACACACACACACACACACACACACACACACACACAGAGTTCCAGGTCCCAGGGGGTCTCCCTATCACACACACACACACACACACACACACACACACACACACACACACACACACACACAGAGTTCCAGGTCCCAGGTTGTTTCAGACACTGCAGAAGTGGGGAAACGATCTCAGGCCCACCACCGTCTCTCCTGGCTCTGCAAGGTCTCCACATTGCCTGCGCCTCCACACCAGCCTTCTCCCCTTGCTCCTCACTCTGCCTTGTTCCTGGTAATTAACGTGAGCAGCACTTCACAGTATACAGAGGCATCATATCTACAGCACTCATGCCTGACAGCGTGACAGCATTCACAGTTAAAAAGTGAGAATTCATGTTTCTTTTATTGACAAGTACTCTCTTTAGTCTCAGAAATCCCCACTGGCTGACTCACCCTCAGGACTAAACCTCGGTCAGACACCAGGTCTTACCATGTCATCATCCAGCTTACATTTGGCGATCTCCTGGCTCAAAAAAAACTTGAAGTCCTTCAATTCCAGTTTGTTCACATCTTCTGAAATCTGAAAAAGCATGACCCTGAAGTGGGAAACAGAAACACTTTAGAAATATTTTCTTAAATGATTTCCCAACCGATTTCCCATCCGAGTCACAGTGGACTTGATTCCTATGGCCTCCCTTTAAATAAAGCCAGATAATGACATGATTTATGAGTTGAGTCCTTGGAAAGAGGCTGGTGTAGTGACACTGAAGACAAATGGCTCATGCCCAACTATCCCACTCTTAACAGAATTTAAAGTTCTCCAACTTTGACTTTCAGTTAATTCCAGTTAAATGAATTGTGTTTTTCCTTTGTCCTTTGCTATAAAATCAAGATCTTGTTGCAATAGAAAAAAAGCTTTGATTTTGGATATCATGCTTTTCAAAATGCAAATCAGATGGAATTCCTCAATTAAAACTAGTCAATGTTCTCCCAGCCGCTACCTTCAGTAGGAAGGCCAAACACCTCCTTCTGGAGTACGGGCTTTTGTGAACTGAGCCCAGCCTGCCTCCACATCTCTGGATGCTCCTTACTGCTGTCCCATCTCCTCTCCAAACACACCCAGCTGCCCTGCCCCTCACCCTGTTATGCTGGGCCTCCTCCCACCCCTATCCCCTTGTCCGTCTGCAGACAACCACTCATCCACTAACAGTTCAAGCACTGCCTGACTGTCCTCAAAGCTGTATTCACCCCGCCGTACCTGCCTGTGCATCGCCAGAAGAGTAACACACATAACTGTCTGTTTATGAAGCTGTCCAAGTTCCCTGAGAATGGGATCAGTGCCCTTTTGGTTTCCATAAGCCTAGAGGGTCATGAGATACAGTGTTTAAGTGCAGGGGACCCAGACTCCTGGTGTTGGAACCTTGGATCCACCATCCATGAGCTGTGTGGCTTTAGACATTTTTTCCCCCTCATCTGTAGACTGTAGATAATACTCTATTTACCCCTCTGGGAGGTGTTGAGAATTACATGAATAAGTTTACCTGAAGCACTTAAACCAACCTTTGGCAACACACTAAGTGTTCAAACGTGACACGCATTAGTATTTCCTAAATTATGATAGGCTCTTGGGATATGCTTGTTGAATGAACAAAGGAAAGTTTTATAAGTCGGCAAACCTTTTACTATTATGGTGCAAAGGAAAATAACTTTAATACAAACACATGTTAACTTCAAAAGTAAATTAGAAAATTAAAATTCTAAAAAATAAAAATATGGTTGACCCTTGAGCAACACAGGTTTCAAGTGCGCGGGTCCACTTATGTACAATAAATACGTAATACAGGGCTTCCCTGGTGGCGCAGTGGTTGAGAGTCCGCCTGCCGATGCAGGGGACACGGGTTCGTGCCCCGGTCCGGGAAGATCCCACATGCCGCGGAGCGGCTGGGCCCTTGAGCCACGGCCGCTGAGCCTGCGCGTCCGGAGCCTGTGCTCCGCAACGGGAGAGGCCACAACAGTGAGAGGCCCGCGTACCGCAAAAGTAAATAAATAAATACGTAATACAGTACTACACAGTCTGCGGTTGGTCGAACCCACAGATGTGGAACCTAAGATATGGAGGATCGACTGTAAGTTATAAGCGGGTTTTTGTGCAGAGGGTCCACACCCCTAACCCCCATGTTGTTCAATGATCAACTGTAGTGTAGAAACAGAAGTTACTCAGTATTAACACCTGCTTCATCTTTCTTCTCATGGACTCTCTACCCGAGAAGTATTTCTCTAAAACTTTCTCAGTTTGACCAAGATTGGGTCCAATCAAAAGCTACCTCCCCTTTTAACTTCATCACAAGGTATTTTGCCCTTCTACGTTTCTCATTACTGAAACCTACTGGCTTTCCTGTACCATCGCTGTCTAGAAATAAATCTGGATAGTTTATAAGGTACTAATTTTATAGGTAGCAATGATAATTTGAAATTTTAAATATCTTATAAATGGAAAGTGGCCACACTAGCATTTTTTTTTCTTACTTGATATTCAACAATGATGAACAAGCAGGAGATTTTACTTGTGCTGACCCTTTTGTTCCCAAGCTAACATGTTGAAGATTTTAACAGACAGATCCTGCCCTTGTTAGACACTTGTGACCCTCCAACAGTAAGGCCCATGTCATTGTCTGCACTGGAAGTTGCCTTGGCTTTGCTCACATGGCAGGAGTGCAACCTTCAAAAGACCAAGACAGGGGACACAAGATGAGACCCTCTAGCTTTCCTAATTATGGGGCTGTTGTTTTTATGATTAATTGATGCCTTAATGAAAAAAAATTCATTACAAGGACTTCACAGTTCTATTGAACCAAAGTTACCCAGTATTGAATAGTATCCTTCCCCACTCTCCTTCCAAATTCACGTCCACTTGGAACGTGTAAAAGTGACTTGGGAAAAGGGTCTTTGTGGATGTAATCTTGCCAAGATAAGGTCATACTAGATTAGGGTGGCCCTAATCCAATAGTTGGTGTCTTTAAAAGAAGAGGGAAATTAAGACACAGATACACAGCGGAGAAGACAAGGTGAAGAAAGAGGCAGAGATTGAAGTGATGCATCCGTAAGACAAGGAACACCAAGGACTGCCTGCAACTACCTGAAGCTAGGAGAGGATCATGAAACAGATTCTCCCTCAGAGCCTCTAAAAAGGAATCAATCCTGTTGACACCTCAATTTTAGCCTCTAGCCTCCAGAACTATAAGGAATTCACTTCTCTACTGTGTTAAGCATTTGGCAGGACAGACAGCCCAAGCCACTGCTGTTCTGACAGCATCTGGGGTCCCAGGGATTAAGCAGTCATTGGGCGTTACAGGATGGCTTATGAAGTAAAATTGTGGAAGCTGTTTAACCTTACAATGATCGGTTATTACAATGGAGGTTTCCAGATGGCCAGGCATAGATTAAAAATGGTTATCTTATACCATAAAAAAAAAAGCACTCATTGCGGGGGTCCAGCCTGGCCAATCCAGAATGACTGGCAACACACAGCTCACTTAAGAACTTGGTAACACAAGCCTTAAGGTATAGAATAAAAGCCTAAAACCCTACTGAGAATTTCATAGTCATCCAGAAGTAGGTGGGAGGGGGTCACAGGTCGGAACTAGCGATGCTTTATTCGATAACAGACAAAGAAATGCATGGCATGGGCACCAGCAAAGCAGAGGCATCAAGATAACCGATATGTAACAGAGAGAGAGAACGTTTAAATAATGTCTATTTGGATTTCGGCATACCTATAGGTAATGTTTCACCTGAAAAGAAAATTTTATTTTATGGTTTTAGCATATTTTTCTCTGAATTCTACATAAAGTCTCTAAATTTCTTAATCTGACCGTGGTGGGACATCTTCCCAAAGGCTCCAAAGCCACACCATACAGACAACCTACAAACAGTATCAGCCCTGCCCATAAAGATGTGCCCATTCAACCCACACGTCCCAGTTCCACACCATGGAGGTTTTCCCCACCTATAGGCAGAGATCTGGGCCCTGCCCGGCATCTGAAGCTCCCTCTCCATCTCCTCCTCACTGGTGTCCAGGTAGGTGAGCAGCAGATCCAGTCTATTCATTCGGAAAAGCAGCTCCTTCAAGAAGGACAGGTTGCTTTCCTCCAACATTCTCTTTTCTTGGAGCCTCTGGAATAGGACCAAGGCATCCTTGATGGGTTCCTGCTTCCTATGTGGAATGTAGTCCAGGCTCAGGAACTTGAGGGCAGCCAGGTCTTCACTGTCCAGCTGTTCCCCAATATTATACAGACATCTGTTGAAATTCATGCTGATCAAGCGTTAGGAGAATGTAGTTGTTACCTAGGTTAAAATACAATGTTATGTTCAGATGAGGAAGAAAACTACCACTTACTGATTTGTTCTTTCATCAAATGCTATTACATCTACTATATGCCAGACATTATGCTGTGGATACAGGCAAGAAAATGAACAAACAGGTTCCCACTCTCAAGTAGCTTACTGTTTTGGAAGGTAGACTTACAAACTAGCCCAGTGGTCAGAGAGTTGTGACCAGGGCACAGTAGAAATATAGAGGAAAGAGCCTTAACTCAGCCTGGGAGAAGGGCTTCCTGGAGGGAACTCACCTTTGGGAAGGAGATGGTGAAGGACAATTTTTGAAGGAAATAATTTATGCAAAAGTTGGAGGCAAGAACGTTCAAGTCAGTTCAGGCAGGCAAAGGGAGCTCAATAAAGTAACCACGAAGGGCCTGGGAGAGGGAGTGGTGAGACAAAGGGATGGAGCTGTTATAAAGGGCCTCATATGATGGGTCAAGGGGGTCAGGCTCTCTCCTGGATATAATGGGAAACCAAGAAAGGATTGTAAACATGAGCGTGACGTCATCCAATTAGGGATTAACATTTAAAGTGTGGGGGACATATGTAGATGTATAACTGAATCACTTTGCTTCACACCAGAAACATAACACTGTAAATCAACTATACTCCAATATAAAATAAAAATTAAATTAAAAAAATAAAATAAAGTGTGGAGGACAGATTGGAAGGGCTGGAGGTGGGAGAAGTCATGTGGTCTAATGGAAACGATGGTGGCAGGAGGACACGATGCAGTCAGTGCTCTCCCCCAAGGGCCTCAGGACAGGCACCCACAGCTGGTCAAGAACCCAAGACTGGAAATGGAACCAAGAGAACTCGGTCAGCCTTTCAACACAAACAGTCTCTAAATCAGATTATGGGGTATTTTCATATACTTACATGTTTGAGCAGGTAGAAAAAGGAGAGGGCAGTGTTTCAGGAAACCCCAGACAACCTTCACACAAGCAGCCCCAGATCTGGGGTTTCTCAAGCCCCTTGAGTCACCTTAGGCAATTTCTCCCTCACCTCCCCTGCTCTGATAGGCCCACGTTCATGGTACAGGAACCCTTGGAGCAGGGTTTGTATCGGGTACATCATAGGAACAAGACTGGGACCTGGATCCTCGGGGCAGGCTACAGGACCACTGTCAAAGCCAGGAATCTTACCCGCAGCTGACTGTCGGAGAGGCAGGCAGTGCGGTGGTTCAGAGTCTGGGGCTGCGGGGTTCAACAGAACTTGGACCAGAACCCAGCTGGGGCACTGGCCCAGGTCTGGGCAGCTCACAGCCTACGAAGGTGAGATTCCTCCTCGATAAGGTGGGATCAGAAGAGCAATATCTCCTGAAGTGTTGTGAGTATACAACACCTATAGTGCTTTTAGAGTAACAACCAGCAACTAACGAACAAAGGCGTGTTCACCTGAAAGAAGGAAAAACATTGGCGGTGGGGCTGGACACCACCGGGCATGTGACCTGAACACTTCTCTTACCCTCCTGGTTTTCCCACTTCCTCCCTGGAAAATTCATCTGGAAGCAGTGATTTTCCACCTCTTCAACGTTGAAGAACTCTTCCTTGAAGGCTTACTCAGATGCTCCCTTACCTCAGGGCTACCATCTGCAAACCTTGAACTAGAAAACCTTTAACTTCTTGTCCAGCTCCATCATTTGCTTGCTCCCACGGACTCTGTGCCCCTGGGTACTTTCTTTAACCTCAAATAACCTTAACCTGTTTGGACCTCTTTCCTCCCTGAAACAAGCCTCCTAAATTTTTTTTTCTTTTTTTTTTGCGGTACGCGGGCCTCTCACTGTTGTGGCCTCTCCCGTTATGGAGCACAGGCTCCAGACGCGCAGGCTCAGCGGCCATGGCTCACGGGCCCAGCCGCTCCATGGCATGTGGGATCCTCCCGGACCGGGGCACAAACCCGTGTCCCCTGCATCGGCAGGCGGACTCTCAACCACTGCGCCACCAGGGAAGGCCCAAGGCTCCTAAATTTTTAAGCTCCCTGCATTCACTGACATTCTCGGCTGAAACCACAAATCCTGACTATCACTTGAGGGGTGATGGAATGAACCAGGACCTGTGTATTTTGTACCTCTGATGTTAAAATAGAAACATTAAGGTAAACTTTAATATTTTAAAAAAGTGGCCCAAAAGACTTTGAAGCTTTTAGTTTTTCTTTTTAAAAACACCTTTTCTGGGACTTCCCTGGTGACTCAGAAGTTAACAATCTGCCTGCCAACACAGGGGACAGGGGTTCGAGCCCTGGTCCGGGAAGATCTCACATGCTGCAGAGCAAGTAAGCCCATGCGCCACAACTACTGAGCCCTTGTGCCACAACTACTGAAGCCCGTGCACCTAGAGCCCGTGCTCTGCAACAAGAGAAGCCACCACAATGAGAAGCCCTCGCACCGCAACAAAGAGTAGCCCTCACTCGCTGCAACTAGAGAAAGCCCAGGAGCAGCAACGAAGACCCAATGCAGCCAAAAATAAAAATAATTAATTAATTAATTAAAATAAAATAAAATAAAACAGTGTTTAAAAAAAAAACAATCCTGATTACTTCCCCCCAATCCTGATTACAGAACACTGGGGTGGTTTTTTTTTTTTTTTTTGGTAAAAATTGAAAATGCAATAAATTATAACATGGTCATGGTTATCATTATCATACATCACATACACACAAATACACATTTATATAAAAATTAGAATCAGGTTGCACATCCAAGCGTGTACATCTGTATTTTATTTTATACCCACTTAATATTTAGAATGAACATTTACCCTTACCATAAATATTCTTCTTTGGTATATTTTTAATATATCTTGATTTCCAGCATTTGGAGATATCAAAATTTATTTTAAGCAATTTTCTGTTTCTTTACTATTAAAAATAATATTGCACTGAGATGCTTTTTCATATATCCTGTGCATACCTCTGATTATTTCCTTCTTAGAATTGGAATTATGGGCAAAACTTTTTTTCTCCCTTTTAATCTAGAGCTGACATTATTGTTTAGACAAGTTTTCTTGATTAGGAAACTGGAGGGACAGTGTCTTAGAAAGATACATCTTATTTTACACTGGATTCACAAAGGCTGCAGAGCCTAGATTATTCACTGCAAAAGCAATCAATTATCATGAAAATACTTTTATATAGGAAAGATACCTTAAATATTTGGGCTGCACCTAAAAGCATACATTCAAAGTTCAACAAACAAAACCTCTAGACATTCAAGGGAACAAACTAGCAAGTTCATTCCTTAAATCACACTCCATAGAAACACACATGTGCTCAACAGGGTTTGTACATGGAGTCTCACCACGGCCCAATATATAACCCTGAACAACTAGAAACATCCCAAATGTCCTCCAATAAAGGAATGGCTAAATTAACTAAAGCATAGTCATCCTACAGAATATTATGCAGCAGTTAAGAAAATACACTCCAACTTCTGAAATTAAAATGGATATTCAAGATATGTTATTATGACAGTGAAAATAGCAAGTTGCAATATAACCAAAATCATACATCTACTTTTTAGAAATACTCAAACAACATAATTAGATTTTCAGTGATTACAGACATATATATGAAAGCAGAAAATAAAAGATAAGGAAATTCTGGAAAGAGACATACCAAACTCATAAAGTGCCTAGATTTTGTATTCACAGATCTTTGAAGAAAATACACAGGAAACTGCTTCAGTGGTTGCCTGAGAGGAGAGGAACTAGAGGTCTGGGGGTGGACAGGAAGCGACTTGCTTTACATTCTATACCCTTTGCACAGTGCAAATCTTTACCATTTTATTACCCTAAATGTACATGTACTTAAATTAAAATCTCTACTTAAATAACTATTTTTATTCCAGTATATGAAACTGGAAAGGATCAGAACTGGGTCCAGCCCTGTTTAAAACCATTAGGTCCAGTGTCCTTAAATCTTCCAATAAGTTCTAACCATTGCTAAAATATCATTTTACAGAATAAAATCAACCAAAGAATCAAATGAAAGCAGAATCTCCTTTTTTTCCCCTCTGCAATTATTTTCTTTCTAATGATAACAATGCTTATTGTATTCCTTTTAGAAAATACAGGAAAGATAAAAAGGAGAATAAAAATTACCTGTAATTCTATCATCCAAAAATTAAATGCCTAATCAAAACATTCTCTGATGTAAATCATACCAGTGTTTTCTTAGGTCAGTCTCCCAAGGCAACAGAAATAAAAACAAAAATTAACAAATGGGACCTAATCAAACTTACAAGCTTTTGCACAGCAAAGGAAACCAAAAACAAAATGAAAAGACAACCTACAGAATGGGAGAAAATATTTGCAAATGATGCAACTGACAAGGGCTTAATTTCCAAAATATATAAACAGCTCATAAAATCAACAACAAAAAACAAACAACCAAATCAAAAAATAGGCAGAAGACCCAAAGAGACGTTTCTCCAAAGAAGAAAGACAAATGGCCAACAGTCACATGAAAAGATGCTCAACATCGCTAATTATTAGAGAGATGCAAATCAAAACTACAGTGAGGTATCACCTCACACTGATCAGAATGGCCATCATTAAAATCTCTACG